GACATTCGCTTCCTAGATAGGTTCCGAGCGTAAACTATAATCATCATCAACCTTCTTCGTCGTACCCAGGCATGCGTAAACTGACTTGTGAATATATTTCATATCTACAGAAAACCCCCGAGACTAAAAAGACGAAGCATCCTGCACCCTTAGGTCTCTCATCTGCTCCCCCCCGGCAGCGGTCTGGGCCCCACAATCTGCCGCCGGCCGGCGCCGATGCCCTGACCGCCCTTGTTCTGGCCGTCGCCGCCCGTGAAGCCGGACCACTGGCCGACGTCCCAGCGGCCGCCAACGCCGCCTCCGATACCGTCGACGCCGTCGCCAGACCGCACGGCCTTGGCTGTCTCCTGCTGCGCCTCCTCCCACTCGCGCTGCCGCTGCCTCTCCATCTCCATCTCGCGCTCGAGGAGTGACTTGGACGCCCAGCCGCCAGCCTTGGTCTTGGCCTGGCTCTGCGCACGCCGTCGGTCCTCGCCGTCCTGCTCGGCCGTGGCGCCGAGCTCGCGCGAGTATGTCTGTATCGGGGCCGCCTGCTCCGGGGCTGGGTTACTGCTGAGGAACTTATCCGTGCGATTTTGCTGTGGCGGCGGAGGTTGGGATGAGGAGGAAGGTGAACTGTATGCTGCGGGGTCGGGAAGCGGCCGTGAGCTTCCCGTGTGGTTCTTCTTGACAACCAGGGGCGGCGCAATGGCTGCGTGTTCCTGCTTCGGACTCTGAGCCTTGGCGGGTGCTGCGAATGCCGCGGGATCGGGCAGGGGCCGGGGTGAGAGCGTAGGTGGCGGGGGCGAGACGGCGCCTCGCTGGTTGTTCATGGCTGAGCTAATATCAGGCAGCGGGCGAGGCGACTTGGCCAAGGGCGTAGGCGAGGCTGCCACGGGCCGCGCCGGTACCGGCCTGGGCCCCGGTTCTTGCGACTGATTCCACGCCGTCCTTAGGACCTCGCGCTCGCCGCGAGACCACGAGTCCTGGCGCATGGGCGGGCTCCCCTCTGCAGGCCGACTCCTCGACCGGGCCCTTGACTTGGGATCCTCGACGACGCGCGGCTGCTGCCCAGTGCGGCCCTGCCGCTCCTGCTCATACTGCCTCTCGCGCTCGCGGGCCTTTTCAAGCTCACGCTCGAGCTCGGCAATGCGCTCGTTGCCTGTCTTCTGCGGCTTGAGCGCCTGCTCCTCGTTGTATTGGCTGAGGAACTGGCCGCGCAGCCGCGCGTCGCTGTTGCTCCGCGAGGTGTTCTTCTCCGTCGCCAGCCGCGCCTCGGCCTCCTCCTCCTCCCTGCGCGCTTCTCCTCGGTCATCTTCCACTGTCGCTCCTCCTCCTCCCACTTGCGCTTCTCTTCCTTCGGCCCTGCGGCGCGACGCCTCCCGCTGCAGCCGCGTCTGCTCCTCCCACCTGCGCTCCTCATCGAGGCGCGCTTGCTCCTCCTCGGCCTCGCGCTCGGCCTCGCGCCGCCTGTGCTCCTCCTCGGCCTGCAGCCGCTGCTGCTCCTCCTCAGCCTCGCGCTCCCGTCGCAGACGCTGCTTCTCGGCAAAGCTGGGCACGGAGGGGCCGGCGGTCGTGATCTGTCTGCGTCCACCGAACGAGATGCCGAGGTTGCCCTGGCTGGCGCCGCCGAGATAGCCGTACTGCGCAATGTTCCATGCCGGCGAGGTCGCACCCTCGTGCTCCTTGCGGCTCCAGCTGCTAACGGGAGATGTGGGCTTCGTGGGGCTGCTCTTGGTGGGGCTCCAGCGGCCAGAGCCCGAATCACCCGTTTTGTGCGACGACAGGGCGGGCCGCTGCTGCTGGCCGGCGCCAAAGGCGGACGAGCCGTTGCTCGCCGTCGACAGGCCTCTGTTGCGTGCCGGCAGCGCCGGCGAGTTCGGACCTGTGCTCTGGGGGCTCAAAACGCTACTGCGCTTGGGGCCACCGACGGCCGAGGGGAACCTGGCGGGGTTGGCGCCGTGAGCGGCACGGCTGAAGGCGCTGATGCACTGCAGGACCTGGGCGGGGTCCTTTTGTTCGTAGAGGTCGACGGTCAGGAAGACATCGTGTTCCTGAAGGTTCAGTGGCGGAGACTTGCAGGCGCGCAGAAAGTGGGAGATGTTCTCCATTTGGACGAACGGCATGGCGGACTGCTTGAACTTGATGCCTGGCGGGGGCAATGCGAGATTGACGAGCCTATTTTGGGAGGAAGTTTTGATTAGTATGAGGATTTAGCTTTCGATGCAGAGTAACATGGAGGGGCATTCGTACTTGCAGAGAGCCACACCATCCTTGAGGCTCTCGAGAAGGTCCCCGGGTGCAAGCCTCTCGCCGAGCGTAGATTCAATCCATGACTTGACTTCATTGGCGGCAGCTGGTGTGTATCTGTCGAGGCGCAATTTGCGCAGGTCCTTGTCCAAGGACGATACAGATGCCATTTCGTGGGCTGCACTGATTCCCTTTTTTCGCTTCTTGTCTGGGCTTGCGTTGGAAGTGTCGTTGAAAGTGTGTGGTCGTAGAATTGATCGATAGATGGCGCGTCTCGCAGAAGATTCGTCGGGTTTCGACAGGCAAAAAAAAGAGGACAATGTTGGACGTCGAAGGCGGGGGCCTCAGGGAGGATCGGAATGTGAGGGAGAGCAATTGCCGTCACTGATGATGCGACAGGCTGACGGCTCGTTGGGTATCGATAGTGTCGATAGGGCGAATGATGCCAGTGATGAATGTGTGGCGCGATGAGACTGCCGGCGTCGTGGCAAGCCTTGGCGAGATCAACGGACCTCGTAGGATGGGGTTGTGGGTGGGAGATTTGATGTTTATGCCCAGGGTTTCTGGAAGGAGAGTGATGAGGCCGCAGCGAAGAAACCTGGACCATGACCAGAGCACAGCCGGCTGGGCCGCGTTTCCTGTGAGGTCTGTACTAACCAGGCAGGTACCTGAACAAGGTACCTCGAGTGGTGGGCAGTGACGTGTGCGGGGTGGCGGCGGCTGGCTGGTGGCTAGTGGCTGGTGTCGCAAGGCTGGTGGCGGTGCGAGCTTGACCTCATCACTTGTCAAGCCATCCTCTCTGCCGCAACCTCGACTCAGCTCGACGATTCCCTTGACAAGAAAAAAAAAAAGGGCCATCATGTCTTCATTAGTCCAGACATGGTACAAGTGGAAGATGCTGCGTCTCCCGTGGCGCAAGCAATTCCTCATCGGTACGTTTCCATGCTGCGTCCACATGCTGCGTCCTGCACCCACCTGCAAACGTCCCCAACCAAAGTTTGTCTCCTGACCCCGTCCAGGCCGCGACCTCAAGGGCAACACCTTTTGGGAGTTTCGTGAACAACGCGGCGACGGCCCCGGCCGCTTCCGCCGCATCGTCAAGCCCCCGCGCTCGACCCACTACTCCGAAGTCAACGTCTCGCCCCTCTGGCACCAGTGGCTGCGCTACACCCGCGAGCACCCGCCGTCCATCGAGGAGCAGTCCAACGACGAGTTCCGCCAGGAGAGGATGAAGACGCTCGCCGCCCAGGCCGACGCGCGCTGGGAGGCGAAGCCCAGGGTCATGGACGCTCCCGGCCGCGACATGGGCCAGCCCGTACAGGCGCTCGACACGGCCAAGACGCAGCCGATTGCGCCCGAGCGCGTCGCGGTCAATGACGCGAGGGAGGATGCCGCGAGGGCGCCGACGGGAACAACGCAGGCTGCTGCGGCGGCACCGGAGGAGAAGAAGCCTGAGCAGGACCCTTGGAAGAAGGCGAGAGGAGCCGGAGAAGGGTGGCAGCCAGAGGCGTGGACGCCAGGGTCTACGCGGAAGAGGTGAATTTTGCCGACATCATCATCTACGCGATTGTACCACAACACATGTGTACAAACCGCACAAATGTATAACATGTACAACACGTACAACATGTACAACATCTTAGAGAAGCATATCCCGCTCTTCATACCCGCCTTTTTGTCCAGAAAGGCCCTTTGAGCGTAAACATAATGAACATGGGACTTGAACGCCCAGAACGCCCGCGCCATGCAATCCTCCCTTCCGCCAGCTTCTTTTCACCTTGACTTTCAATCCCTCTTGGCCTCGGGCTCCCTCTTGACGTCATCGTCCAGTGCAGTGCGCAGCCTGTCCTCCTGCCTCCTCCAGTGGCTCCCTTCCTCGTAGTCCTTGCTGATCTTGAGCGCGTTGCGCAGCCTTTCGCTCTCCTTGATCTTGGCATCCGCCATCTCGTGCACCTGGTGGCTCTTGAACCCCTTGCGGATCGGCCCGCCGCCGCCACTGCCGCGGCCATTCTTCTTGCTCTCCATCTCGGCGAGCAGCTTCTGCCTCAGCGCGTCGCATCGCTTGTCAATCTCTTCTTCGTCGACCCTGTTGTCCCTGCTGTCAGCGGGCCCATCTCAACAACAAGTCGCCGTGAGGCCATTTGGGGGCTTACTCTTCTTCCTCGAGCTGGTCGCGCAGGTCGAACACTTTGACCTCGACCTCGCGCTTGCGGTCGTGCTCGAGAATCTCCTTGTCGGGCTGGCGCTGCCGGTGGCGGAGCGAGTCGAGGTCCTTGGGGTAGGGCGCCGCATTGTCGCGCGGGCGCACGTGCGCGAGGTTGCGCTGGACGTAGCCGGAGGTGCCGCTGCCTCGGGGCGTCGAGAGGCCCACGTTGTCGGACATGATGCGTGATGGGCTGTGCTTTGAGCGGTCGTGGTCCGTAGAATGGAGGAACGGAGACGTTGGCCGTCATGCGTGGTTGAGGACCGACGATGCAGGCCGATAAGATAACGGATGCGTACGGTAGGCGGTCAGCGTGTTTGCCAGGGGGGCGAACGTGGGCGGCCGCGGCAGAAAAGTGACGGGTGGCGGGGCATCTGCAGATGCACCAGTGACTCTGAGATTCCTCGACATCTTTCTTGTGAGTCAGTGAAGGATCAATTGCTGACGACTTGCTCTGATTAAAAGTCGAGGTTCCTCAGAGAGAGAAGTGTTGATCCAGAGCACTTAATCTCCTATCTGATTTTTTTTTTCTTTTTTTTGCCTCTTGACTTCTTGAGATACCCCTGCCATGCCGTCTCTCGAAGCTGTCGCCGCGGGGCTCTCGGAGTCGCATGCAAACCCCAATGCGACAGCATCCGATGCTCCAGAAATCGCCTTTCCGCCCCTGACGAGAGATCACATCCTGAACTGCTCTTATGACAGCTGGTTCCCCAAATACCGGACATCTGCTCTCAAGTCACGGATCATCAAGCTCACTCCCGACTTTGTCAAGTACATTGGCGAAGACGGCATTATCCTCGCCGACGACGATGAGACGCAGCAAGACGACAGGCCAGACGAAGAAGAATGGGCTTCGAGCGGTGCTTCCACCCGCCAAGCACCAGACTCTGACTCCGACTCCGACGACGATGAGCCAGAGGCCGACACGCGCCCACCGAACGAACGCTTCCCCGAAATCCACCAAGAGATCAAGGACAAGATCCGCGAACTCGGCGGCGCCGTCGTGCCCAAGCTGAACTGGTCATCCCCCAAAGACGCCGCCTGGATCTCACCCACCAAAACACCCTCAAGTCGACGTCACCTAACGACATT